TGTAGAAGATTGTAGAAGTGTGATGCTAGTTCAATTTTTTTATCCCTCGGTAGCCTTCCTCATTCCATGGTTGCGAGGTGGAACGCTGAGCAGAAAAAAAAAGCCAAATGCTGCCGGACAAGCTTTGTTCTGAGAAAAGTTTTCCCTACAAAATGTGGGACTCTACAAAATGGCATATGTATACATGTGTGAACTTGGCCAAAACATACTTGAATGAGTGGTGTATATCTACATATCTCTCTACAAAATGGCTCTTGGATATCTCATCATATTCTTACAATATGGTAGGGTTTTCTCTACAAAAAATACCGGTCTATAACTTTCAGGGGTGTTTGAGGTGGTTTACTAAAAAATGGTAGTGTATTTGACCTAATTTCACTATAAAATGGCCCCATGAAATCCAGTTTATAAGGGCCTCAAGGCCCACCAAATCATAGTGGAAATTTCAACGGGGATACACAAACCGTTAAGCGGCTGGCACTGTTTTGAACCAACGCTACAGGATAGTACGATGACCTATATGATACATGGTTTTACTGCAGGAGTTTTTACACCCCCCTCGGGCGAGCAGGGACGACTGCGGAGAACGAATAACCCAGAAAAGCACGCCACGACGACCGATGTAGCTGACATATTCATCCTCTGTAAAAATGTGGCGGCCGAACATGAATCCCCAGACCTTTTTCCATGTTTTGCGGGACTCAACTGGGAAACCATCAACACCTCGAGGCTGGGACATGAAAATCAACTTAGATAAGCAGTTTTCATTTTGGGCATTGGCGGCGACGCCAGCCGAGATCTGAGCTTTGGTCCTTGGGGGATCGGGGAGGTTGCCGTATGCAAACATGTCATCAAAGATGCAGTCCTGCAGGTCCTTCCCCTCACCGTGGATGCGGTCGCAAAAAGTGACGTCGCTGGCGTATCTGTCTTCGACATCCTCGTAGCCCAGCGCTTTTGCACGTCGATGCCTGTCGCGGCAGTCTTTGAGGACTGCTGATTCCACGGATGTGATTCCCCTGGGGCCCAGTTCCCGGCGAAGCAGATTGGCTTGCTCATCTGTCAAAGCCGTGAGCAAGCTGCCGCTCATTTTCCCAAACATTCCGAACCCGGCGAGACTCTGCATTCGCCGTTCAAGGATGCGGGTCCTCCTGTTGGGTTTGTCGGCCTCTTTTGTATCGCCACTTTCGTCCACTGGGAGTGGCTCATATCCACATGTGGTGCATGTCACTTGGCCACTGACGTACTCAACCTGGCAGAGGGGGCAGGAGCCCATGAAAGGTTCGCAGTACTTGGGTGCAATGTAAACACGGCGCGTCCTTGCGGGCGGCTGGTCAACTTGCATTGGGGCAGTGGCTGCATCATCATCAGTGGACTTGGCATCGGGTCGCCCCGTGCTGGTGTCATCCATTGGGTCGTCATTTGCATCATCTCGGGCAGTCAGGGTGACCGCTTTGGATTTCGGTGCTGAGGCTGATTCCGCGCCTGTCCATGAGCTGGGCTCGAGATTGCTCTCGGCGCGGGACCAAAGCACCTGTCCTTCTTCTGGGATGCTGACCAGAAACTGCGGTGGGATGCGTTCTGAACACAAAATACCATCCATTTCTGTGCGACTAAAGATGACACCAGTTTCAACTGCTTGCCGCATTGCGATTTTGACTTCGACTGGACATTTTGCTCTTAATCCAGATCGATATCCCTGTGTGCCGATACAGTGTTCTGCCATGTAGATGTGAGCACGGCCACTGTTGACTGTGTCACCGCCACCTGGGATCAGGCCGTTCTGTGCGATGCTCTTCCAGCTGCTTCTCATCGTGCGATGGAAGACAACCTCAGGGACCTCAGTCATGGCACACAGGGGCACGCCAGTGAAGGCGGCTTTTCGCTCGGGGGACACTTGGTTTGAGCAATACACCATGGTTGAATTGGCATAAAGGCCCCCTGCGGTTTTCAAGGCAGCTTCGGAGTGACCCTGAATTGCACGGATTTTCACAGGATAATACGGCATGCCTAGGCCATTGTCGACAGGAAAATGGGAGATCTTTGCACACAAGAATTGGAACCTACTCTTGCCATGCTTGTCGATCTTCATTGCGGTGCCAAACAGGTTTGCGACAGTGATGAGCACATCTGGGGGCACTTCCTTGCGGAAGGCTTTGGCAAAATCCTCCAAGTCAATCCAAAGGTCTTTGTCCATTGGCACCTTGGCACAGGATCCATGCCCCCTGCAAACTTTGTTGACACGAGTTGCAAAATCGGAAAATTTCTTGTCGACACGAGTCTGGCCAGCAATGGTCTCAACGTCGGATGCCGATATCAGCTCCAGCTCATAAGCCGTACCTTCAAAGAGGATCCCGGGCACATCTTCCCCGTCTGCGTTGGTCACCATTGTATATTGGTATTCAGGCAAATGCTCTTCCATCCAATATGCTTTCACGTGGCCGGATGCATGTTCCTCTAAGCGCGCAGTTGCCTGCGGCTGGTACTGGCTGGATGTGGCTCTCTTGTCATCTGCGGGCTCATCCACTGGGGCTGGTGCTGCTTTCGGCCGCGACTTCAACATGACCTCAGCCGCTTGGACCAGGATTGTTGCTCTGCTGGGTGCAGCGGGCTCGCCGTCGCCGGCGGCCTTTGGAGGGTCATCTTTGGGAGGCTCAGCAAAAGTGCCCGAAGGCATCGTCTTGGTGTCGATGTAGTCCTCAGTGTCTGGTTGTTGAGCTTCGACGTCCTCCTTGGTGAATGACCTGCCCGTCGGCGTGATGTGTCTTCGGGACTCTCCAAAAAGCAACTTGGTGATGTTTGCACATGTCTCCTGATAGGATCTTGGCAGCTCGTCCAGGACGGCGCTCATGTTCCTCCGCAAATCATCCCATGTTTCCTGGCCACACTGAGTAAGCTCCAAACCAATTCGACCAACCCGCCATCCGCAATCAATTGCGAAAAGGGTAGCTTTATGAAAAACCGAGCCAGCTACACATTGGGAATTGTTAAAATATTTTTTTTTCATTTTTTTATCGTTTTGGTTATCATTTTATTTATCTTTTTTTTTCATTTATGTTTTCATTCATTTTTTTTTAATCATTTTATTTTTCATTTTTTTATCATTTTTTTTATCATTTTATTTTTCATTTTTTCATTTTTTTCATTTTTTGTTTCATGTTTTTCATTTTTTTATCATTTTTCATAATTTTTGCTTCCAATGGTGCAAAAATTTTCCGAAAAATAAAAAATTGCAATTTTCCTCGAGTTTTTTTCATTTTTTTATCATGTTTTTATCATTTTTTAATCATTTTTGCTTCCAGTGGTGGAATTGATGAAAAATGATGAAAAATGAAAAAAAATGAAAAAAATGAAAAAAATGAAAAAAAAATGAAAAAAACATGAAAAAAAAATGAAAAAAAACGAGGAAAATTGCAATTTTCCAAAAAATGAAAAATTGCAATTTTCCTCGAGTTTTTTCATTTTTTTCATTTTTTTTTCATTTTTTTCCATTTTTTTATCATGTTTTTATCATTTTTTTATCATTTTTCATCATTTTTGCTTCCAGTGGTGCTAAAATTTTCCGAAAAATAAAAAATTGCAATTTTCCTCGAGTTTTTTTCATGTTTTTATCATGTTTTTATCATTTTTTTTATCATTTTTGCTTCCAGTGGTGGAATTGATGAAAAATGATGAAAAATGTTTAAAAAATGAAAAAAAAATGAGAAAAAAATGAAAAAAAAAACGAGGAAAATTGCAATTTTCCAAAAAATGAAAAATTGCAATTTTCCTCGGGTTTTTTTCATTTTTTTTTCATTTTTTATCATTTTTGCTTCCAGTGGTTCTAAAATTTTCCGAAAAATAAAAAAATGCAATTTTCCTCGAGTTTTTTTCATTTTTTTATCATTGTTTTATCATTTTTTTATCATTTTTGCTTCCAGTGGTGGAATTGATGAAAAATGATGGAAAATGATAAAAAAATGATAAAAAAATGAAAAAAATGAAAAAAAAACGAGGAAAATTGCAATTTTCCAAAAAATGAAAAATTGCAATTTTCCTCGGGTTTTTTTTCATTTTTTTTTCATTTTTTTTCATTTTTGTTTCCAGTGGTGCAAAAATTTTCCGAAAAATAAA